AGTTAAAAACACAAATTACAATAAAAGAAAGTAAAAAAGTTATATAAGATGCTAAAAATTAAACATCAAATGACCTTTTGAATAAGTAGGTCTTAAGTTCGGCTATGAACTTTTTTTTTTTTAACATTTTTTAAATCTAAGATGAGTAGCCCAAATGTTTTGTTGTTAATAGAGTGGAGTGTTGATATGATGACCATCAAATTGTGTATTTTTGCTTCCCTGATACTCACCTCACAAAGCCAACACTCTACATATATCACATGTACAAACTCATTTTTGGGAAAGCGGGCTTAATTCTGACAGGGCTGATCTCACAGCTAGTCCAAACACAGCTCACATCAAAGTGAAATGATGATTTTTGTGGTGATTTCATGAACCTTTACTCTTTACTGGTTTTGCGTCAATGGTTTTTACGTAGAATTCTGTGATGATTTGCGAGTGCACAGGGTGCTAGCTGAGTTAGCTGTCACACGTAAGGTGCAGCCCAGAGTCACTTCCTGCTAGAGTGAGAGAAGAATGGAACGTGAGATTGACAGATGGATTGGTGCAGCTTCTGCCATAGTGCGTAATTGGTAGCGGTCAGTTTGGTGAAGAGAGAGCTGAGCTGGGAGGTGAAGTTTTCTGTTTCCTGGCTGGTCATTTTTACCCTCCCTTATGTTTACAGACTCTGGGTAGTGACAGAAAGATACAAGTGATTTGATTTGAGAAGTTACATAAATTAGTTTTATCTGGCGAATCACCGTCTGCTCACTGCCGCCCTGCGCCGTAGTGCAAAGCCAGTATCAACACTATTATTGATTATAATGGTTGCGTATTTCCTGTAGAGGTCGGACCGCAGTGCAGCGGAGTGTAATTAGGGGTTAGAGATCAGGATGAAAAGTTCAGTTACCTGGTAGAGACTCAGAGTAGAGCTGCTTCTCCTGCAGATTGAGATGGATCAGTTGAGGTGGTTCAGGCTTCTGGTAAGGATGGGCTTGATTGCCTTCCTAGCAAGGTTTTGTCCAACGACTCCGCCTAGTGCAGGGATAGGGTTCTAACTATGTACCATCTTTAAATTTCCCCATGAGGAAGACTTAATCT